TTAAAGGCCTTGGGGACCACTGCTCTGCATCCCTTAGATCCTTAGAAGTGGCACTGGTCCCACCATCCTCACCCCTGGCATGATGCTGCTTTATGATCTTGGTGGGGATGGGGCGGTTTCAGAAGTCCCTGCTTGGCCTTTCCGACTGTGGTGGCTCAACCGTGCAGGTCAGGGACCAACAGGAGGGTATCGTTAACCGCCAGTGTGTCAGTGTTGGTCATTCAGTTAGGAACTGGGAAATGACCACCAAGCAGGCCTGCAGACCCAGAGGGCCACTGTAACCTGGCCCGTGGGTGTCCTGGCCACCCTGTTACCTGGCCGTCTTATGCAGTCCCTCTGACAGGGTGGCCATGATGATCTGGGTGTCTAGGTATCAAAGTCAGTTCAGACCCTGTGTCCATCAGTCTTCAAAGTGTTTGGCTACCCACTTTTCTCCAGGGTGTAGCTATCAAAAGAAATGACTACTGGGCCTTTGGAAAAGCACTTAAGAAGGACCTAGGGATTCATTTCTGTGTTTATTGTGGGGTTCTTGGTATTGTAAGAATCGATAAAGGGAAGCCACACTGAGTGGTGCTGGGAGGCCTGCAGAGGGCACTCCACACCCACCCCTCTGGGTCACCTGCAGACCCCACAGCTTTCTGCCCAGAACAGCCCCAGGCCCCCTCCTCTGTAAAGGGCCTCTGCCGCTCTGCTGTTTTGCCCTAACGTCCCGAGTTGCAGTTCTCTGCTGCCCTGCGAGAAGCCCATTTTGCTGGTAAAATAACTGAGTTTTATTTTTAAGGTTAACAGTATTCAGCCACCTCTTCAGTAACTGTTGCCATGTCTGAGACTGGCTTGGGCCCAGTGTGGGGTCCTGATTGGAGGGGTCACCAGCTTGATTTCCTGGTCATTCATCCTTGCCTTCATTCGTTGGCGCCCTCAGCTGCCCTTCCTTTTGCCGTTCTGGGTGCCACACTCTGTCGGCCAGTTCTGCTGTGCGCTGCAGGTTGGCGCCGTTTGCTGGCACTCAGGCCTTGCCAGCCATTAGCCAAGTCCTGTAGGCTGGGTGCCGCCTCCTGGCCTCCGCAGTTTAGGGTCCTGGCATCCCCGGTACTACCACCCAGCCAGGCTCCGGAGCAGCCTTGCCTACTGTGAGCTCTTGCCTGCAGGAGGGCCCCCCTGAGCATTTCTGTGCCCCTTTCATCAGCCTGTTTCTTTGAACTTTCTAAATGTGTTTCATGTGCCTTTATTTGGAATATAATCACCTGATGGCTTTCATATTAAACACGGAATATGTAACTTTCAGCACACCCATACCCCTGAGCCTCTTACCCTCATCCACCAGGCTGCCACAGCAGCTTTGCTCACTGTGGGCCATAGTTTTTTCTATGTGTGGTCTTTTAAAAATGTGTTTGCAAATTTTTTGATACTCCTTCCTTCAGAAGATTCAGAGTCTAATTCCGCTCTCTTTGAAGACAGGTGAGATTTAGACAGGTGGTGGCAGCCATGAAAACATGCGACCCCTGAGGCTAGTTCACATGAAGGCTAAGCTTTCCTCGTCTCCAGACACTGGTCTTGGAAGCCCGCATCATAGTGTGAGGAAGCCTAGGGGAGTGGCCGTGTGTGAGTGTGTCGACCGACATCCCCAGTCTGGGCTCCAGCATCAACTGTCAAGACGTGAGCAAGTGAACCTGCAGAAGACTTGAACTGCCAGCCCTCGAGCCGCTCCAGCTGGGGCTCCAGATGCTGCAGAACAGAGATGAGCCATCCCCACCATGCCCTGACCCACAGTGACCTAGAGAGAGAATAAATGACTCTTGTTTAAAGCCACTAAGTGTATAGTAATTCGTTATGTAACAATAAATACACCATCATTCTAGGATCCATCTTTTCAGCAATTTGCGCCCAGTCTGCCTGGGTGTAAATTCCATATCTTTGAAGATTATTCAAAAGTCAGTAAGCTCTTCTACCCAATTTTACATTCCAGCTCCCTTCTAATTTCTGCAGGGGTCACGCTGGTGAATTAAAGATGTTTGGTCACACCACTCATCAAACATACTCAAGATTCAGCTCCACACACTTTCCTAGCTCCTGGCAGCCCATGTTGGCCGGGTCTCACAGCTGGTTATGGGTTGACTTGTGTCCCTGGCAAAGATTTAAGTCCTCACCCCCAGTACCTCGAAATGTGATCTTATTTGGAAATATGACCTTTGCAGGTGATCAAGTTCAGTTGAATGCATTAGGGTGGATCCTAATTCAGCATGATTGGTGTCTTTATAAACAAAATCTGGACACAGAAATGAACACACATATAGGAACATGAAGGCAGAGACAGGCATAATACATCTACAAGGCAGAGAACACCAAAGATTGCCATAAAACCACCAGAAGCTAGAAGACAGGCATAAAACAGATCCTTCCCTCACAGCCCGCGGAAGGAACCAGACCTGCTGTCACCTCACTCTGACTTCTGGCCTCCAGAATTGAGACAACACATTTCTGATATGCTATACAATGTTGGTACTTCGTTACTGCAGCCCTGTAAACTAGTACACAGTTCGAGGGGGTGGGAGCTGTGGACTCTTTTCTATCTCATTGTATTTCCAGTTGAATTATGCTATGAAATAACCATAATTATATTCCTAGTGTCCAGTAGGTGGGGGGAAGGAGTGCTAGGCTCGTGGGGAAAGGTGGGCCCTTGGGCAGGCTCCAAGGTTCAGGGCATTCGGGGAGTCAAAACCTTTGAGGGCATTTACCCAGATATCAGATATCCCCAGGTGTCATGGGCCCAGCTTTTCCCAACCAGGGTCCCAAACAGCGTAACAGAATGGATTTGGTTGGGCATTTACCATTTACCATCTTTGAGATATTAATTCCTGGGCTCAATGTAGGAGATGAGTTTCTGTATATGCAACCAAAGAGATCTCATGCCTTTCAGTTGCCTGTTGCTAGCCATCAGCTGTCCATTATTTTTCTTAAGAGTGTCAGTGCTGCTAAGGAATTGCTATCCAATTCAATTATCCTTCTTCATAGCTACTAAAGGTATACCTCATTTTATTGCAACTTGCAGATGTTGCATTTTTTTTTGTGGGTCTGTGGCAGACCTGTTCAAGCAAGTCTGTCAGCGCCACTTTTTCAGCAGCGTCTGCTCACCTCATGTCTCAGTGCCACATTTCAGTTAATTCCCACACTATTTCAAACTTTTGCGTTATTACTCTTTTATGGTGATCTGTGATCAGTGACTATGCCTCTGAAGATTCAGGTAATGGCTAGTATTTTTTAGCACTTTATTGCTAAATTAAGGTATATACACTTTTTCTAGACATATGCTATTGCACACTTAGATGCAGTATATGGAACAGACTACAGTATAAACCTAACTTTTACATACACTGGAAAACCAAAACAGTCATCTGGCTCACTTTTTTGCAATATTCACTTTATTGCCATGGTCTGGAACTGGACTGGCAACATCTCTAAGGTGTGCCTGAAGGTCTAATACCTCACTAACTAGTGTATTCCATTTCATATCACTGGTTCAATCCTCCTACTTCAACACTGGTGAAGAGTTAGAAAATAGATCGCCATTTGGGGCCAGGGGTCATGAGGGCTCCACCCTCTGTAAGTAGTGAGTGATTCAGCTTCAAAATCTCTTACCATCTGCTTTCTCAGACTACACTGGGTACCAACGGTTGCTGGCTAGTTTCTCTACCAGCAACCGGTGAAATGCAGTTTGGAGCACAAGGTATCAGCAGCTGTGATGGTAAAGGAAAGGAAGAAGTACATGGAGGCCCAGCAAAGAAAGCTTCAGCTCGTCCGGTGTGTCCTGTATTGGGCCCAGATGGCCAGATCTTTACACTCCTGCATCCCTCTGTCACCAGATGTGGGCTGTCCCAGGAAGAATACCTTAGGTGAGGCAGGCATCTGAATTGATGCCTGCGTTCACATCACGTTATCCCATCCCTGCACCACACAGACACACCTCCCCGTCTGCATCTGAACAACCTCAGGGGGGTCCCCTCGGCTCCACCCTGCCTCTGGGCTCTGATGTCATTTTGTTCCTCTGTGCGTGCCCACCCACCTCCCAGGGTCACCTCATGGTCTGAAATGGCTGCTGGAGTTCTTTCCTGGCCAATACCGTACATGCTAAGAAATGAGTTAACATATAAAATTGTGGCCCACACCACAGAATAAGTTGGTATCTGCTGATATCCCAGCAGGTGTGAAGTTAAGGGGAGCCCCGCTGCGGTGGAGCAGGGAGGCTGGCAGGGGAGCCCCGCCACTCCGCCAGCGCGGGAGGCAGGTCAGGGCAGACCCGACAAAACAGCCTCCACAGGCAGGAATGGCGGCTTCCGGGCCCCTGCAGGGAAGGACGCGCTCGGCATCTCCGGCACCCGCCACCCCGGCCACCCAGCCAGTGAGGGGCCACGGCTCCTGGACTCCTTTTCTCTAGGACTTTCCCTCAAAACAGCCCCTGCCGGCGCCCCCCTCCCTCTCCCTGGGGGAACATCCCTCCCCGGCGTTTAGTGTTTTTCGTCCGTCCATTTGGCGAAACTCGCACTGCGGAACTGCCGCTCTTTGCTGTTCCCCAAAGAACCCATTTTGCTGGTTAGGTAACTATTTTTAAGGTGAACGTGGGCTTGCAGAGCTGGGCCTTCCCAGTGTGCCGAGCAGGTCCCAGCAGCAAGGCTACTGGTCATTAGTGGAAAACTCCAAAGTGAAGCAGTCCTGGGCCCCCCGAGGGCTCTCCCTGCAGCCAAAGGCCCCCAGCGCACGGGCACGCGAAAACCCCATGGCGGGGGGCAGGTGGCCCCTCCTCAGGCCCGGAGCCCCTGCGCCCGAAAGCAGGCGGCGCCACGACGACACGACGGCCCCGGCTCGGCTCAGAACTCCTCCGAAGAGACGCTCCCCGACCTCCCCCAGAGCAGCCGCGGGCGTCCTCCCCGGCCGGCGACCCGCTGCGCACGCGCGCCGTCCCCACGCCTTCCGCCGCGCGCGCTCTCGGGAGGGGCTGCCGGGCCGTCGGGGGCGCGCGGGGCGGTGGCGGGGCCCGAGGAGCCGCCTGTGCCCGCGCCCGCGCGAAGCCTCTCTCGCCGCGTCCCCGCCCCGCCGCCCCGCTCCCGATGCGGGTCTCTGGGCGGAGGGGAGCCGCGTAGCTGCCGCCGGTGCTGCCGCCTGGGCCGGCCCGACCCGGACCCGCCACCCTGCCGCCGCCTGGGCGCCAGCCTGCCTGGCGGTCGGCGGGGCGCGGCCGGAGCGACCATGGCCGCCCGCGGGTGTCCGCTGGAGGCGGTGCCGCTACCCGCGGACGTGCGAGAGGGCCTGGCCGAGCTGGAGCTGGAGCTGTCGGAAGGTGAGCCGCCCGCCCGGCCCTGCCCCTCCCCGGACGGCGGGCCCGGGCCGCGGCCGCCACCCCTGACCCCTGACCCCTGACTGCGGACCCGGGATCCCCACCTTGGTTTGGCCCCAGGCGCGGAAATGACCGTTTTTGTGCAGGCGGCGGGCTTGTAGGTGGTTGTCAGCGCAAGGCTGCAGGGCTGGGCTGTTCGGGAGCCGCTCTTCCCGGGCAGCTGCCGCCCGCGTGGGGTCTGGACCCGCGGGCCACCCCAGCTCAATGTGCCCTGGTTCCCTCTCCTGTAAAACGGCTATAACAGCACCTGCCTCTCTGGACCGTTGAAAGGCTAAAATACCTTAATATATGCAAAGCACTTAGCACAGAATGAGGTCGTTAACCCCTTTTTTGGAATTTTTTTAAATTAAAAAAATATATGTTCAATATATGGTCGTTTGATTGTTGAAACAGACTGGAGCGACTGAGCTTCAGAGATGGTGAGTGGCTTTCCCATGTGGGTGTCACCTCTTCCCCAAGGCTTGCGTCCCCATCTGTTTGGCTGTCAGTGTCGAGTAAGTTACGGCCCTGTGTCAGGGAGCCTTGTAGCCCTTGAATTTTAAACTTTTTTTTTATACTTAAATGTGTTTTCAGCTTTTAGAATCCATTTTTTCATGGTCTAATTATTCTTTAAGTTTCAGTTTGGCTTAGGTTGGAGTAGCGAATTCTTGAAACAACTGATAAACATACACTGGGTTGTGCTAAGTTGCTTAGTCCACCAACCTTAGGGGTCAGGCCTGGTATCTTTGTTTTACAGGTAATACAGCATCTACTTGCAAATGCTTTGAATTCAGCACTCAAATTTTTCTAGGTTTTGAGATATGGGGCACATTTTTTAAAGTAGAAATACTGTAAGAAATGGGTGGATTTAAGAATTCTTGGTGATGAGGTGCTTTGGGGAAGTTTGAAAAACTCAGAATAGGAACAGTTCTGATGGGAACCATTGTCCTGGATTTGTACAGCTCTTCATCAAGAAGCCATGCAGATTCCACACATTCCGAATGCTATTGCAGATGCTCCTGATTTCTGCTCCTTTGTATTTGTCATTCCCTCAATTCTTTGTTTCATGAATGTATGTTTGCTGCTTCCTAGGAGTTGATGGTTAGATAACATTGGATCCTTTCCTCAGAGGACAGGATCTCTTTTATAACCTGTGTGACAGAACACACGTGAGGACAAGAGCTTCAATAAGTGCTTCTTACCTATTGACTCCATTTGTCCTGTTGTCATCTTAGACACATAAAGGCTGTGTAGATAAGTAAGGGATGTAAGATTATATATGTGGAGAGGAACCTGGGAAAGTTAACAAGCTGAGGAAGGGAGGGAACAAAGTGTTAAAAGGAAGGGACAGCAGAGTACAGCGCAGCCAAGGAGGCAGGAGGCCTGGCTTCTGTCCAGCTGCGGACCGGCCCGACATCTTTCCTTTGGCCCAGATAAGCACACTTACACTTGGCCCTACTCCCAGGGTGCTTCATGTCCTTGATGCTGGCTTCTTCTGTTTGTGTTATTGTATTTACACAAGGCCTCCTCCCTTGAGGTGCTTTGTGGTAGGGACTGTGTCTTAGGCAGAGTTTTTGCATCTCCACACAGTAGCTGGCATCTGGTTAAGTGTCCATGAGTCTGCACTGAATTGTCACATCCCTGAACTGGAGTTCCATCAGCTGTATCTCACTGCCGGCCCATGGTTCTTGTGAATATTCAGTCAGATAGTATATGTGAAAGCGCTTTGTAACTGGTAAGGTATTTTATTTATATAATTAAAGGAGGTATTAATGAAGTGCATTTCTAAAGTTTTGCATAACCAAAGTTAGTTTCACTGTCACTATCATTTTTACATTTTGAGCAAGTAGAAGTTGAAAATGGGACTCTTGTCCTGTGATCTCCCCACCCCCATTGTGGGAGGGAAACAAGCTTCTAATTCAGAATAATGTCAAATAGAATGACTTTATAGTACTCACATTTGTCTGAATGAGAAATTGCTTAAAATACAGTTGACAGGTTGGAGGGAAGAGGAAACTTACTACAGACAAAATGCAGCCTCCATAGACACTGATAGTGAGCAGTGGTACTTGGAAAATCTGGAAAATCCTGCAAGATTTCCCTGCAGCCTGGTCCTGTGTTGGGAGAGCGTCGTCGTGTATTTTCCTCGGTTCTTGTCCCAGCCGCGACAAAGAATTGAAGGGCAGAGACATAGTAGTAAAGCAGAGTAAAAGTTTTATTTAAAGTTATTTAGAAAGTGCGGGGCGACCTCAGAGAGGAGCACCCTGAAAGGTTGGGGGTTCCCCCTTTTAAGGATTTTTTTCAGGAATATGACAAAGGACTAGGGGTGTGTACTTGTTAAGGGGTCTCAAGTATCTTTGATAAGACATTAAGTTTCTTATCAGTCTTCTAGGTAATTCTGCAAAATTAGCTTAACACAAGAAATTTACTGCTCTGGTCCCCTCCCAGGACAGCAGCTTCCTGGTTTGGGAGCATATCAATCAATCAAGACTGTCTGCCCTTCCTCCAAGGTGGGCAGAGTTATTTGTTCTTTGTTTGCTGAAGAGTATGTTAAGAATCTTTCTTCTTAACTTCTTGGGTTTTTTCAAAATGCGATTTTGGCTTTAGGGTGGGATCTCCCTGTCTTTAGTATGCTGTTTATAGGTGGGCCTTTTAGCAGGCTGGAGTAAATCTTACAATGACCTAACTGACCCAGTGAAGACATGGGCTGTGCTCAGATACTTCTCTTTATCTGGGGAATATTCAAATATTCAAGGCCAAGTTGCTCCTGACCTTTTGAGCTTTAACTGATTAACTCTAACTCTGAGTCTTTTCTGGCTTTCTAGTTTTAACTGGTTAACTGAGTCCTTCCTAGGGGGCTTTACTGGCCTTGCTCTCTTTCCACCCCGCTCATGTCTATTTTCCTGCCTAACACCTGCAGTGACGAGTAGGAAGCGTGTCCCTGCCCTTCTTCATGGCTCACACGTGGCCTTGACCTCTGGCATCCTCATTGGGTTCCTGTCACTAACTGGTAATTGGGGTTGGCCCTCAGGGAACAGCTTGGAGGTAGAATGTGTGTAGGGTAGGTCTGACTTCCTGTTGCGGATTCCCAGGAGGAAAGAACGCACAGCTGTGGTCTTGCTCCCTAAGTCTCCTGGCGGTTTCACCTGCCTGACCCAAGGTCTCCTTCAAATACGTGAGGGTGATAGGAGGCGAGAGCCCCACTCTTCTTAGGTCCCACATCCCCACCGTGAACACTCAGAAGAATTCACACATATGGCTCCTCACAGCGTACCTGAATGTCTGGAAATGAGGTTATCAGAGGTATAATCTTGATTTCTTTAAAAAGAATTCCCAAACACTTGTGCTTTATTCCGTTACTGTGCCGAGTTACCTTGGATAGACCTCACGGCTGACTTTGGGACTGTGCAATGGCTCCGGGCTATTGCTGCTGAACTGCTTTAAAAATGTGGACTCTGGTGTGAAGTTTGCTTTTTGGTTTTAGTGTCCTGCAGTGGTTTAGAGAGGAAATCCGTACACAATCAGCTACATTTGGTTTGTTTCTGTTTCTTTATTCTGGATAATAGGTCTATTCGTAGCTACTGTTTTCCTGCATTCTGGTAGTGTTTGGCTCCCAACCTGAATAGAGTCAAAGAAAAGGGGGAAAAGCTCCATTTGTGGATGTAGACAGGGGACTTCTTCATAAAGCTTTTTTCTTCTTTAAATGTTTTCAATTATTAAATGTTGTGATGTAATTCTGAGTTTTCAAAATGACAGTCTGGCATTGCTTTTACATCAATAAACATTTGTTGTGCATTGTGGGTAAAATTGTAAATTATCCAGAATATCTTGCCTGGTTTTAGTACATCTGCATATCAACAGGAGCTCAAGGGTGGAGAGAAGTATGGCTTTAGTGGATTTACATCATTCCTCAGGGGTGGAGAGAAGTTCATTCCATATCAATGGGTAATTACCTGGGCAAGGAGGGCCTATCTATACCTGAGAGGTGAGGGGAGGGCCGGTTTCACTGCTGCTGAAGCAGGAAAGAGAGATGGGCGGGACTGCAGTCTGTAAGCAATAAACGGGTTTTAAACTTTATTTCTCCCTTTGACTGATTTTGCTTTTTAGAGGTATTTTGCCCCAGGATTTCCTTTCCCTGGACTTACAGCTTCCTAAATATTTATTTTTTTATTTTGGTATCATTAATCTACAATTACATGAAGAACATTATGTTTACTAGGCTCCCCCCTTCACCAAATACCCCCCACACCCCATTACAGTCACTGTCCCTCAGCGTAGTAAGATGCTGTAGACTCACTACTTGTTTTCTGTGTTGTACAGCCCTCCCCATACCCTTCCACATTATACATGCTAATTGTAATGCCCTCTTTCTTTTCGCCCCCTTATCCCTCCCTTCCCTCCCATCCTCCCCAGTCCCTTTCCCTTTGGTAACTGTTAGTCCATTCTTGGATTCTGTGAGTCTGCTGCTGTTTTGTTCCTTCTGTATCACTTTGTTGTTATACTCCACAAATAAGAGAAATCATTCAGTATTTGTCTTTCTCTGCCTGGCTTATTTCACTGAGCATAATACCCTCTAGCTCCATCCATGTTGTTGCAAATGGTAGGATTTGTTTTCTTCTTATGGCTGAATAATATTCCATTGTGTATATGTACCACATCTTTATCCATTCATCTACTGATGGACACTTAGGTTGCTTCCATTTCTTGGCTATTGTAAATAGTGCTGTGATAAACATAGGGGTGCATCTGTCTTTTTCAAACTGG